TATACACATTATGAAGCCCAATTATTCCAAATAGGATATACTCAAAGAGGTCCATCTAGACACATCATAATCAAATAATTGAAAGCCAAAAGCAAAGAGATTCTTGAAAGAAGCAAGAGTATTATATATGAGGGATCTTGAATAAAATTAGTAGTTGATTCCTCATCAGAAACAACAGAGGCAAGAAGGCAAGTTGTTGATACACCAGAAGTGCTGAAAGAAAAAGATGGTCAACCACTAATTCTATTAAAACTATTTTTCAAAAAGGAGAATTCAAGACCTTCTTAGATACCAGAAACTAAGAGAATTTATCACTAGAAGACCTGACCACTAAGAAATGTTAAAATGTTAAAGGGAGTCCCTTGGACTGAAATGAGAGGACACCAGATTGTTATTCAAATTCACATGAAGAAATAAAGAGCATTTTTAAAGGTAATTGCATGGGTATATTTTTAAAAGACAGTATAAGTTTATTTTTTGTTTGTAACTTTTTGTCCAATGTGATTTAAAAGGCAATTGCAAAAGTTATAATTATAAATCTGTGTTGAGGGACCAGCAGTTGGCATAATGGACTATGTCACTGGACTCCCATGTAGTTGACCGTGGTTCGAGTCCCAGACCCAGTGGCTTAAACACATGTTGGGTGTGTGTGTGTGCATGCCCAAGATCCCGAGAGGAAAATGAAGGCGTGGCCATCCCCCCTTGGGGGTGATTTCTTGCTTTCTGTCTCTCTGTCTCTGTCTTTCTGGCAAGCGCCTGCACCCTATAGCAACCCCCCCCAAAAAATCTGAGTTGATAGGCACACAATGTATAAAGCTATAATTTGTATAACCAGAACAACACAAAGAAAGGGGCATGTAATGGAGTTAAATTAGAGCTAAGTTTTTGTATTTCATTATAAAATTGGTATTAATCTAACGTAAATTGTTTTAAGATGTTCATTGACATTGTTGCAATAACCACTAATGAAATAACTAAAAAAAAATTGGGTCATTGGGAAAGTTATAACACATTTTTGCATAGAAAAACATAGAAAAATACATCATGACTTTCCTGAAAACCTAATAGTAAAACAAATAACAAAGGAATTAACTGGTTCATTAGAGAGTAGCTTTTTAACACTAAAGAAGTCAGTAGTGGAGGAAAAGAATAACAAAAAGAGGCATAAGGCAAATTAAAAAAATGTCAAAATTGCAAACATAAATACTACCTTGTTAGTAATACCATTAAATGCAATGGATTAGTCACTCCAATCAAAAGGCAACAGTTGGATTGGCATAATGGATTAAAAAACACGATCCAACCATATACTGGCTACAAGAGACTTATTTTAGATTAAAAGTCACAAGTAGTTTTAAAGTTAAAGGATGAAAACAGCTCTAGTATACAAACAGTAATCCAAAGAACACTAGAGAGGGTATTCTGATAATATACAAATATACTTAAGACAGATTTGTTGTAAGAGATAAAGAAGCACATTTTATAATGTCAATCTACCAAGAAGATATACCAGTTATAAACATATGCACTTGACCTATTGTCAAGTATTGCCTCAATACACACAAAGCAAAAGCTGTTAGTGAAGTATATGATGAAGGTATTGTGCTATTGTTAGAAAAATATAATCTGCTATACCCACATATATTCAAATCTAGAAAAATTGCACTACTTTTAGTAGTCACATTGTCATTTCTCCAGTGACTCTCATTTAGATATCTGTTGTAGTAATTAATGGATGATTATGCTCCAAATTTCAAGATAATTTATTAAGACCTCAAATGCCCAAAGGCTGAGGCAATGCAGAGTTCATATGACATGGTTCATATGATATTAAAAAGAAAGTGCCCTTGTGTCAGGGTTAATCATCTCCTATATCAGTGTGCTTTCTTTTAGACATGTACATCATGTGATGTATTGCTAGCCAGGTATTAAGGGCTATGGGTGGGCCAGCCCTTGCCCTTTTGGTTAAGGTGGCTGGGTCCCTGCATGGTGACTACATATTTTGAGTCCCAGACTCAGTGACTTGAAAAACATGCTGAGTACATATGTGTGCCCAAAATCCTGAAAGAGGAGAGAAATGAAAGAAAAGGGATTTTGGTGTGACCATTCCCCATGGGACATGGTCTCTTTTTTCTTTCTCTTTCTCTGTCCTCCTCCTCCCACTGCCTGTGAGTGCATGTGCCTTCTGGTAAATTTAAAGAAAATGGGTTGGTGGACTATGGGTGATTGATTAACCACCAAGTTCTGGAGTGCAAATTCTTTTTTTTTTTTTTGGAGAGGTTTTTGCTATAAGGGCATGTGCGCTCACCAGAAAGACAGAGAGAGACAGAGAGACAGAAAGTCAGAAATCACCCCCCAGGTGGGATGGCCATGCCACAATCCCTTCTCCTCCATTCTCCTCTTAGGATCTTGGGCACACACACACACACACGCACACACGCCTGGCATGTGTTTAAGCCACGGGCCCAGGACTTGAACCATGGTCAACTACATGGGAGTTCAGTGACATAGCTATTAGGCCGACTGCTGGTGCCTGGAGGGCAAATTCTTAATGTCTACTAGGAAGCTAAGGCTTCCTTCACTGGAAATTTAGAAGGCTGTTCTTCACCCTACATTTGATACAGTCCGTGCAGTACTTATAAACTATTCCCACAAGGGGAACAGTATATGTCAAAATGTACACTGATAGATGCACACTTTCAAGAAATGGCTGGCAAGTTTCCAGGTCTCAATGCTCAGGACCTGTAAATGTAATAAATTATTGCTTCTGGGATTATGCCTTGTTATATGGCACTGTTGATCTTTAAAAAAATAGGCTTGTTAGGGTGGACCTGATCAAACATCTGGCATCATAAAGAAGAGAATTTTCTTCAACTGGTGGTAGAATAGGAAGGTAGAGGGAATGTCAGAGATTCAAAATATGAGGCTATAATGCATCATTTCTAGCTCTGACGGTGGAGGGAATCAGTAGGAAACAATGTGGATGACCTCTGCAACTGAGGAGGCTGCCAGTTGCCAGCCAGAAAGGGAATGGGGGCTTTAGTCCTACAACTACAAGGAAATGAGTTCTACCAACAACCTAAATAAACTTTAGGTTGAAGCCAATTCTCCCTATAAATAAGAGCCAAGCCCAGCCTGGCCCAGCCCAGCCCACGCTCACACTTTGATTTCAGTCTTGAGAGACTCAAAACAGAAAACCTAATCAATATTTGAGCTGTCGATAGGTTCACACACCACTAATTGAACAGAATCTTAACCTCTTTCCTGGTTTTAAATCTTAAGCAAAGTTCTCTTATCATATATTCTATTTTTATTTATTAAAGGTAAAACCTCTTTTTTTGAAATAAAAAAAAAAAACTAATGAAGTCCACCTATAGAACTGTGATGTAATAAATGGGTATCGTTATGAACTGCTTAGTTTATGGTAACCTATTACACAGCCATTGAAAACTAACTAGTACAGTGAATCAATAGAGTACCAATGTGGAATCCATGGTTAGTTGCTATCTTTAGTCTCATGATCATACAAATAGGCTACACACTAGATGCTATATAAAAAGCAGTGTGAAGGTGTCTGTAGCAAGTGATGGACATTGAAAACTTAAGGATCTCCCCAACCAGACAGAAAGTCTATGGATTTAATGATTATTACATAGGCAATAATGGGTTTTCTCTATTACTGCTTCAAAATGTTATGTTCCATTAGAAAAGAGGGTTGGTCTATAATTTTGTCTGGGAAATATATGGGCTAAGACAATATTCCCACCAAAGATTGGGGGAAGATGTGAGAAGGGCATACCCACATATATCCATATGCACAATTTCAACTTTATTTTTACAGCAGCGAATAATGATAAGATGTATTTTCACTGAAGTATAGAATTTAAAGGACTTATTTAGGGAGATTTGTGAATATACAGTTTGGAGAATTCTTCAGACAATGAGTAGAGAAATTTGTCTAAGAAAGTCTATTGTCCAATTTTCCCTCACTGAAAATGGTCCTGTACCAAGAACAGGTGGTAAAGATCAAATTGTTAGTCATTCTGAGCGCTACTGAAATGGAAAATCTTTCTGCTCTCAGGTGCTGAATTTCTCCAATTGTTGCAGCCTAATCACACACCATGGCATAAGTCAACCCATGGCTGGCTTTAAAATGCTTAAGCAAACACTTGCTTGCATTAATTTTTTTCATTCCTTTATGTTATCTCATTCTGTTATTCATAAGGTCACATGCTTCAAAGCTTTGGTTTGAGTGGGAAAAAAAGATACAAAGAACTGAGTTTGATCCTTACTCCACAAGTTACTGGGTCATTGAAAAAGGCATGACATGCTTTTCTATGCAAAGACACATCATGACTTCTCCAACGACCCAATAATTTTCCATCTCTGCCATTTATTTTATCATTTTAGTCAATCTCTCTCTTCGTCTCCAGTCTCTTCCCTTTACCCCTATTTTTAATATATATCCCTCCCCCAAATTCATGCTGAAAGGGTTTAGGCTGATCATAGTCATAGTAATTGGGCTTTCACCCTTTTATCAGCTAAGCTCATAAATTTCCAAAGATTAAATAAGATACTGTGAAGTAGTGAGACATACCTTTTGGTGGTTATCCTTTCATGCACATGAAGGTTGAACAGTTCATTTACTGATAATGCAACTATTCAAGTGAGCTTGCATTTACACAAACATTTTTTGGCACAAAGTTTTTGAGGTTACATTGAGAAATAACACATTCCATAAGATCAGTGCTCTTACTAACAGATCATTCTCTTAGGCACAAGTTTATTCCTCAGGTTCAACCTCTTTTCATATTATTTTTAGTCCTCCAGCCTTCCTCTGTGCTGGTGCTGGTATGGAAATAGTCTGGGGAAGAGCTTTGTAGGGTAGGGACAGGACCTGGCTCAAAATGGGAGCAGGAGAGTATTTCTAAGAGTACAATAAAACAGGATGTGAGTAAGCTATCTAAGATTATTTTATATGCTGTACATTGTCATCCTAGGTGTACTGGCTGAGCACCATTAACCACACATATTAATGTGGTCAATCAAGTTAGAGAAGCCTGTATTCCAAATGAAAATCCACTTGGTCTGAGGCATCTGTGTAAAGGTAAGATGAGCTACATTTCCAAAGATTAGTGTCCAAGATTTTGTTTATGGTGGGCCACAAATTCAATACCTTTAGAGGCAAGGCAGGTGGACCATGAGATACAATGGTGACTTTGATAAATTGTGTGTGTGTTCCCTATCTTAAGAGGGCAGTGATTCCCTAACCCTCACTTAATGCTGCCACACAGATTTTGATACCAGCATTGCCTGCTCCTCTGACATTTTGCAAGAAAAAGCAGAAATATGTGAAAAATTCCCATTTATAAGTGTTACTATTTCATACAAAAGAAACACAGCAATGGGCAGTCCTGTAGGCTGGATTTAGCCACTTTATCAATTGGTGCCCTTTGAAACCAATAGTTCCCTTGATTTCGTTTTCCTCGTTAATCCTCTCTTCCTAAAAGGTGTACATGTTGAGTATTTGAGCAAGTATTTTGAATGAGGAATAGCTATATTATAGAGGAGATGATTTATGGAAGTATGTCATCTTTCCCATAAAAATTAAGCTAGGAAGACCAGAGCACGGAGTAATGGTTACATTGCTGGACTCCCACTTGGTTGACTGCAATTTGAGTCCTGGATCCACCGGTTTAAAACTCATGCTGGGTGCATGTGTTTGTGCTCCACATCCCAAGAGAAGAATGTAGGAGAAGGGATTGTGGTATGGCCATCTCCTGACGGTTGACTTCTCACTTTCTTCTCTCTCTCTCTCTCTCTCTCTCTGATGATCGCACACACCCTATAGCAGAAATCTAAAAAAAAAAATGGATAAAAAAATCAATCTAGGTACATGAACTCATCTTGTAAAACTTGTGGGAAGTCAGTAATACATACATATGGCCACTGTGTTTGTTTTGCTCCTTTTGATTAAATCGTGTGCTGATGCTGGGAAAAGTGGTCTGATAAGCTCTAATGGGACACTAATAGGAAGCTTACTTGGAAAACTGATTAAACCCCAATGAAGGATAAATGACAGAGTCTGGGTAAAGAAGTCATTCCGAGATAGAATTCTGTCATTTTTCAAGGCCGTCTCTGGAAATAATGCTTTCAGGAAGGATGTTGCCTAGCCAGGACTTACTGTAGAGTGATTTTCCTGTTTCAATTGCCAGTTTATGTGGTTGCTATGAATCAGTGGTAGAATTAGATGAATTTGTTGACTGAATCAGTTGGAGTTTCTGTTTGGATTAAATCAGGTATAAAATATATCATGCTCTGCAATGACAGTTTAATAAAGTTCTGGAATTGTTTGGTTATTAAATATTAGTGTCAGAGTGAGCAGTAAAGCTCATCAGCCTCAAGGATTCCCTGCTAGAAAGTCATGATTATTGAATTCATTGTACAGCAGTAACTGGGACTAACTTCCCACCATATTCATCTTGTGCTTGAACTGACCCAGGGAGAAATGGAGAATGGCTGATGACCATGGACTTCATCATTGACATTAACATAATAATGACAATTGAGGTAACAAAACCTATGTCTTTTTCATAAAAGGTTAGGGGACCTTAGTAGAGGATGCTGATACCTTGCCATAACCCTTCAATGCTCATGTGGGCATGCAAAAGACTTCTTACTGCAAATACCTGCTACTGTTACTCTCTGCCTGAGGGACTTGTTTGTATTGCCAGGGAGGCGATGCCAGAGGAAGCCTTTAACCTATAACTGGTCAGAAGTTGGTGGCTAAAAAACACCTTTACTTCTTTTGCAAATTCATTTCTACAATATGAATTTGCATTTCCAGCCAGTTCTTGGTGATGCTCATTCTGCTGGTTCAGGCACCACACTGTGAAAACCACCTTACTAAAGACATCAAGCCTCATAAAAGACTAGGCCATTTTAGAATTTGTTCATGTGTTCTTTTGGTACAATAGTCTAAAATCTATTTTCAGTTCTGCCTCCTACCCAAAGAAGTCAATTACTTGAAATAACTCATAAAAAAATTTATGTTTTATTTTAGCCACTCTCTTACTGTAATTTTGATTAATTTTGAAACTCTATGGTATTATTAATAAATGTAGGTTATTTAATGGGACTTCTTATACAAAATATTTATGATAATAGGCCTTTCATAAATGTAAGTATGAATTCTTCATCAGTATGTTCTTCCTGTACATCATATGTCAACATTTTCAACAAAATATATATGCAAGTTTTATGGCATTTTTTTCCCTTTTGTGATCATACATCTTTTTAAAAGAAATAACACATTTCTTTGGAATCCTATTAATTTTACCTGCTGTCACCTCCTACCTAAATGAGTCATGTCAAATAGTACATGCTGCTTCCCCTGACAAGTACCTGAAAGTCGAAGCAATTTTTATACATCCTGTCTTACTCTTCCCTTATAGTTCTTCAATGCATTATGGACAGGAAAGTACTTTGACTGATGAGGAGGTTAGTGGGAGGATGTTCAAACCAAATGGTACATACTCCTTGCCCTCTAACCCCTTATTTCTTAGAACTTACCTCAGATGTCATACTGGACCATTTGTGGTGTAGCCACATGCTCCGCTAAATTCCCAAACACGAGCTCATCCACTTACCCCCAGTCTTCTCTGTCAGTTCTGGGCTCTTTTCCTTTTTCTCATTGCTATGCTTTACTTTATCCCTTTCTTCAACAAACAAACAAACAAACAAACAAACAAAATCAACATAAAGCTTTTGTGTGCAGAAGACTTTGAAATCTTGGAAATAGCAGGGAAGGGAAAAGATGATGACAACTCATCCCAGTACCACAAACTGACAAGTGAATCCCACACCACTGTGCTCTCCATTCCTTAGCTATGCTCTGTCACAGAGAATTTCCCCTCAGGCCTCCATACTAACATCCTTGCCCCTTCCTTTTTCTCTCTCTGCTCTTGTCTCAACTTCTCTTCTTGCCGACCTCCTTCTCGGCCACCTTAATCTCGCTTACTCTTTCACAGAGTAAATCAGCTGTCATCCATTTAAACTTTTAGTAAAGGTCCTCACATTTCTCCATTAAAAAGCTAATCAAGGGACCAGCAGAGAGTATAATAGTTACATCACTGGACTCACGTGTAGTTGACCGCTGTTCAAGTCCCGCATCTGGGGGCTTAAAACTCAGGCCAGGCACATGTGCATGCGTGCCCAAAGTCCCAAGAGGAGAATGGAGGAGAAGGAATTGCAGAGTAGCCATCCCCTCTGCAGGGGTGAATTCTCGCTTTCTGTCTCTCTGTCTCTCAAGGAAGCACATGTGCCCTATAACAATAATATCTTTTAAAAAAGCTAATCAAAGCCAATCATCAGAGTAGTTTTCTAAACCTAAGAACTAGCTTCCACTGAGATTTTGGATCAGTATCCTAGAGAGGAAGAAGTGGGTGCAGTCTTTATTTGTTTAAGTACCATTTTTTCCTTTCTGCTGTATTTGCTGAAGGAATTAACTATAGGGCTATTGATGCTTAGGTTTTTTTGTTTTGTTTTGTTTTTTTTTTTTGAGAGAGCTTTTTGCTATAGGGTATGTGCACTCACCAGAGTGACAGAGAGATACAAAATAAGAAATCACCATCCAGAAGGGGATGGCCACACTGCAATCCCTTCTCCATTCTCCTCTTGGGATTTTGGGCATGCACACACATACGCCCGATGTGAGTTTTAAGTCATCAGCCTTCCGGTCCAGGACTCGAACTGCTGTCAACTACATGGGAATCCAGCTACGTAACCATTATGCCATTTGCTGAGAGTATTTTTAAAGTAATTTTTAATCAACATGTAATACTTGTGCATATTTGTGGAGTACAGTGTAATGTTTCAATATGTTCATGAAATGCATAATGATAAAATCAGGGCAATAAACGTCCATGATCTCAACATTTATCATTACTGTGTTATGAACATTTCTTCTAGCTAGTTTGAAACATACATTAAATTTTTAACTATAGTTACTCTATTTTGATTTGGTACCCTAGAACTCATTCTTCTCATCTAACTGCAATTTTGTATCTATTTACCAAGTTCTCCCTATCCATCCCTCCCCACTCTCCTTTCTAGTTTTTAATATCTACTATTCTACTTTCTACCTCTATAGGATCAAATCTTTTGTTTCCACAAATGAGTGAAAATTTAGGGTATTTGTCTTTCTGTGCCTGGCTTCTTTCTTTTTCTTTTTCTTTCTCCCTTTCTTTAAGGTTTTTACTATAGGACATATGTGCTTATAGGAGAGACAGTGAGAGGGAAAGTGAGAAATTGCCCCCCTCCTCAGGGGGAATGGCCACACTGCAGTCCCTTCTCCATTCTCCTCCTGCATTTGGGGCACACACATTCACATGCCTGGTGCAAGTTTTAAGCTGCTGGATTTGGAATTCAAGTTCATGGTCAACCATGTAGGTGTCCAGATTATATACCAAAGTGGTCAGATACCTAGAGTAGGGAATTTTCAGTATGCCGACATAGCAGGATTCTTGTTCAAGCTGTATTCTGCAAGGACAGAAAGGACAAGGAAGAAATCCTAAGGTCAGTTTTAGCTGAGCAGAGGGCTCAGAGTAGCCTGATTAAAGACAGACTCTTTAGCAGCTCTCTCTTGTTCAAGGAAAGGAGACTTTCTTATTACTTTTTAACACTATGAGTGTATTTCTCATTTAGTTACCATGTTTTCATTAAGGACTAGACAGAGAATCAGTTGAGGTTTTTTGTTTTGTTTTGTTTTTGGAGAGTTTTTTGCTATACGGCGTGTGTGCTCACCAGAAAGACAAAGAGAGACAGAAAGGGAGAAATCACCCCCCAGGGGGATGGCCATGCCGCCATCCCTTCTCCATTCTCCTCTCGGGATCTTGGGCACGCATGCACACAAGCAAGTGCCCAGTGTGAGTTTTAAGCTACCGGGTCTGGGACATGAACCGTGGCTGACTACATGAGAGTCCAGTGATGTAGCCATTTCACCATCTGCTGGCCCTTTTTTTTTTTTTACGAATTTTTTTATTTAATTTTTTTA